GGTACCTGGGGTAGCCCCCCCGCTCAGGTTGGGGAGGGGGGGGTGGGGGGGGGGGGGGCTAGCTCAAGACACAGGGGCCCGACATTTTATTTCCACGTGCGGGGCCTATACCCATGTGCTCCTATGAACTGTCCCACCGCGTGGGTGATACGGGGAAGGTCCAATCAAAAGGGGAATGCCCCGCCCCCGTGTTTTCACTCTCCAACCGGCACCTGCTGCTACGGGGACAAAAAAAAAGCAACAATTACCGCAGCACCGCAACGAACGAACAAGCAACAACAACCCCCACCACAAAAACAACAACAACAACAACAACAACAACAGCAACAGCAACAACAACGATTTCCTCTGACCGGTCGAGAATATCGAGTGCGTCGGCAGTGTCGAACTTCCCCAATGCTCGGACCTCGAACGGGTCGAGCTCGTCGGGCTTAACGAGCTCAGACAGCCTGCCCCGAACGTCGGCGTCGAGGGCCGCCACAGTCGCCGCTAGCTCAGCCTCCGTCTTCCGGAGATCTGGTCATGTCGGGGTTGTTGTTCGGTCAGCAGGGAGGGAGGGGGAGGGGGTGGGGGAAAGGGTCGCGAGAAGACTCTCCCCGCAGGGGGTCAATGCGAAACCCTCCCGGCTGCGATGGTGGAAGTCGATGGCACCTCTCTCCTCAACGATATTTGATGGTTCCGATGTCTGCCGCTACATCCACAAGGTTCCTATTCATTCTCCCCGCAAAAGACTGGCCTCCTTCGTCTCTTAATTCTTGTCGTTAATACTCACATATGTGGACAACTGCTAGTACGTGCACAAACTAGGTGTCACGCCCCGTGCCGGGGTGTCAAAAGCGTTCTCATTCAGGAGGCAGAGACAGGGTGACTAGGTACATTTGAGAAGACAGAACGCGATGGAAACGGGTCTAGGGATGCCTAAAAGGGCCGACAAGAATATATGCATACCCGCCCCGCCGTGATCCTTCATTTTTTGCCTATATCCTCCGTGCAGTAGCGCTCAACTAAACAAGGGAGAGAGAGGAAGGCCACCGCCGCCCACCGCCGCCGGCGGTCCAGCCAGACTCACTTTTCGACGCCGCCGCTGCCGCCGCCGCCTCCGCCGCCGCTGCTTCGGCCCTGTCTCCCGGTCTCAGGAACCGCCTGCGACCACCGCCGCCTCCAGTGTCCCCGTCTTCCTGAGGCGGGCCCTTCCCCAAAGCCTCCATCGCGAGCTTTCGGTCGTCGTCATCCTTAAAAACGGACGCCGTTTTCGATGAAACGAATTATTTGTTGTTGCGAAAACGGAGGGACGGAGACAACCGCAGCAGAAGAATGCACTATCGTAGGAGAAGGGCATTCAGTACATGTGTAAACGTCAAAGGGTAACCAGGACTCGATTAATTGTGAAACGGCGTTCGTTTCGGGGACTGACTTGCGGAGTCAAGCATGCCAAAGGGGCTGGCCTGCGCTCAGAGAATAGGCCGCAACAAATAACAACCAACTGCAGGGTGGCGGGCCCAATTCCGTGGCCGCGGTGCGGCGGGAGCAGGCGGGGCGTGAGCGATCCCGGCACGACTTGTGGTTTCTAGTCAGATTGCTTCTCGGCGGAAAAACACGTATTCACTGCCCGCGAAATGTGCTTAATTGAGAAGCAAAAAAATATCCCCATCTAGGGGACTGACTATGAGCATGCTTAGCGCGGATCTCGCGCAAGAGAAAAGGTTCTAGTGTCCGTCTGGGTGCACAACGTGCAAGTCACGCCGTACCTGCTCCGCGTATTTCTTCTTCATGCGCTTCAGCTTGCTCCGCTTGCCGCGTGGGACGCTGTTTCTCGTCCGTTCGGTTGGGAAAAGGAGAAAGAGGGAAAAAAATATTGCGAAAGATTGAGGATGAAAACCATAACAAAGAGAAAGAACGAGAACGAGAACAAATGGAACGCCTACAGCAATAACACACAGCACCAGCAACAAAACAACCAGGCCTTCGTCAGGTTTGCAAGCGGCAATATCAAGCAGCAAACATAGGGTGAAGAAAGAAGACTCTCAGGCACAACTCTTGAAGCAGCGCGCGCCAAAATATCACAAACCTACGCGTCTCGTGCCAGCTTACAAAGAAAAAGAACAGAACGCCTGACTACAACGGAGAGGAGAACGATGACAACAACAACGCACACACGCGCGTTGAGGCTCGCACTAACGTTAGGTTGGCGTTGTTGGGGCTCGCATCAACAACGACGCCCTTCTTCGCACTCCCTCCCCCCGCTCCACCGCCGCTGCCGCCGCCGCCGCCGGCGTCAGCATCGTCCTCCGCGCCTTCTTCGGGGGTTCCGCGAAATGCTGTCGTCGCGGCGGGGTCGTCTTCGTTTGCTGCTGCTGCTGCTGCTGCTGCTGCTGCCGGTCCCACTTTGCTTCCACCCTTCTTGGCCTGTTTGCGTTCCCTGAAGAATGAAACGCGGCGTAGTGAGCGTAAAAAGAGCGTGTGTTGGGACAGGGGGGGGGTGCTTTGCGCTCTTGACATGTTGCACATTTTCAACGACATGCACACCGGTTGAAACCACCGTATTCCTGGTGCTATGCTCGTGGATGAGGTACCACATGAAAATCGTCTTGCCTTCTACGTCAAGTTCGCTTGTTTTATGTCCTTCTTGGGTGGTCTACCGCGACGTTGAGGCAAGGTGGGTTGACTTCGGGTGTCAAAGCAAGGATCATTCACGGTCGGTGCGTGTGTGTTTTGGGCGAGCCAGTATTTCTCCTTTGAGCGTGAAGTAATCGAGGAGAGTCTACGACATGTCAAGGCAAAAACGTTTTCACATCCAAACACCCAAAAGGAATGACCCCCTCAGCGCGAAACAGCAATCTAGTTCGACGAACGACTCAGCATCGTGCCTCGAGAGTTTCGAAGCGCCAAAAACTGCCCTCCGCCAGAGAGAACCAGCCCCCCCACATTCCCCCCCTCCACCCTCCATGTGAAGAATAACGAAAAAAAAAAAACTTACTTTGCCGACATTCTCTTCTTGGGGGCTTCTGGTGCCGCCACCAACCTCGCCCCCGCCTCGCCCCCTCCTCCTCGTTCTCCCCGCCCTCCGGGGGGGGCCCACGTTGCTGCCCAAGTTAGCTTCGAGCCCCCACCACCGCCGCCGCCGCCGCCGCCGGTCCCCGGTCCTCCCGCCAACGCAGCAAGGGCGGCCGCTCTGCGGTTGGCAGCGTCGATGTCGCCGCCCTCAGCGTCGTCGGCCGTAGTTCCGTCCCCTCGCTTGCCGTCAAGTCCCACGGGCGCGTCGAAGCGGGCGGGCCTTCTATCATTGGTCGGAGGTGTAAGCAGCGCGAAAGAGAGGGTTTGGTGCGTGGATCAGATGGAACTTTCCGCGATGAATTTCGTGGTGTAGTTGGCCCTGGCAGGAACACGGAAAAACACCTTCGGGAATGGTCTCATGAGAGATGTTCATTGAAGCATCGATTTGTCACGGGATGAACAAGGTTTAGACCTTTCGGGTTTCGCAGCAGTCATGGCCGGAAAAGGCTGCCCTCCACTTTTACGCTCGAGTTTCGAGGTTTGCGGTCTAAACGCACGGGACTGCTTGGTCGTTGAAGCCAACTGAGTCAACCCAGACTACAAAAAAGAAAGACAGAAGGGGCGCTCGCGACGTGAATCTGTTAACTACTACCTAACGTTCCACAAAAAAACAAAAAGAGCTGCACTAGAGAGCTAGTCTTGTCTGCGTGTCGATCCACGAAAGTTGCTCTCACGCCTGCGTTGAACAACGACGACAAGGTCGCGCCCAACCCTTACTTGGCAGCGTTGGAAAGTGTTTGGGCCGTGACCCTCGTGCTCTTAGGCGGCCTGACGATGTCCAAGCACAACAAGAGATCGAAAAAAACAAAGCTGGTGACGAAACCCTTGCGAGCTGTCCACAAGGCCACATCCTTGCATTGCTCGCCCCAGTTACACTCGACAGAACAAACATCCTCGAAGTGCATCCCACTCCACTGCTCACGGCAGAGCAAACAACCAAGTCCTGCCGGTCACCTGTACACCATCCCACTCCGCCACTCACGACAGGAAACAACAAAGCCATTTTGGTCACCCGCACACCATCCCAGCCCGCCAATCACGGCAGCAAACAACAACAGTCCTTCTGGTCACCTGTGTATCCATCGACGTCCTTCCATCCTACAACGCCAAACGACAGCAAACAAACCAAGCCCTTCTGATCACCTGTGCACCAATCAACGTCCTTCCCACCTCCGCCATACACCAGCAAACAAACCAAGCCCTTCACCTGTCGCCGTTCTCCACCCCTCTTCCCGCCCCACCACCATCGCCGCCTTCGTCCCCCTCTCGGCCGACACCGCCGCCCCCACCCCTTGCCTTTGCCCCT